TGTACTTCTGTCATTAAAAACTTGTTGTTATAGATCGAGCCTTGCTCGTGGTTTAGAGCCCGATGCACTAGGTGGTAATGCCCCTAAAGCCTCTAAAATGCTGAAGATGGTAAAGCTATATGAAAAATTTCTTATCAAGCCTGATTTTAACGTATGTCTAATTATAGGTCTATGACTGCTCTGTAGAGGCTAGTGCATTGAGACATGCAAACAAATGTGTTTACGCACATTCTAGCAGTTCTGATCGGTCAGGATTAGGAGAAAATCTTTTCTATACAAGCGCTCTTAACTTTGACAAAGTCAAAGCGGCTACTCAAGTAATTAAAAGTAATTTGAGCTCAAAAATTGACGGTTGAAATGTTTGATTTAGGCTTCTCAAATGTGGTGGGATGAATTGAAACAATATGGTGTTGGCTCTTCAAACAACCTTACCCTCGCATTGTATAACAGACCCAACACACAAATTGGTCACTACACCCAGGTATAAGGGTTTCTTCATTTCTTGCATTGAAACGTACAAAATAAGCTTATTCAGATGGCGTGGGAAACCAGCTACAGGCTTGGATGCGCTGTCGTAGCTTGCTCTAATTTTACATATGCTGTGTGCCAATATGGACCAGCGTAAGTTTTGAGAATTACATTTCCTAACACCTTCCCAATATCAATCTGTTCAGGGGTAACTACATCAATAGCCTGATTTACACCATGGGTAATCCTTGCACATCTAACGCTGGGTGTCCGGGATCCTACACATGTAGTGTGGCCGAAGGACTATGTAATGTTGTATAAAAACATATGAAAAATTTAAATATAAATTTGTTTATTTGATTCTGTTCCAATGACTGCTCATAGTTGAAGTGTATATCCAAAAATACTGTAGGGTAAAACCTCCTCGAGCCTTTTCAAGGATGTCTAAATTTCAAAAGCAAAACACTTATCGACAAAAAAAAAGCTATCTTTTCACTACCACATTGAGACGACGGAAGTGCAGAGATCTGGACATCATAGATAAAGGTTAGAGAATTTTTTCTCCAAATATGCCCTAATCTAACTTCTCTTACTCTTTCTAGGTAAAATACTTTAGTAAAAACAAAATACACCTTAAGCGTGTTGGAGCACCCTATTGAAATAGCTGCGCCAGAGATATAAATGTTAATAAACTAGTTAGTAAAGCACCATTTCAGGGTTTATATAGAGTATATTTATATAGATAGAAACGATTTATTCGAGTACAGATGGTTGAAGAAACACGATAAATTTGATGTTGTACATTTGCAAATCAGCCCAAAGGTTGTAATCTTTTAAATGCATTTAAAATATCAAAGAAAGTAACTAACTTTAACGAATGTTTGCAAAACTCAATGTCATAGGCATTAGAAATCAGCTAGTAACAATGGCTTGCTTCGAATTACATGGCATTTCTTAAAGACATCCGGCCAACAAAAATGTTGCCTGTGAAGGGCCAATTAGACCAAATGGTCATAATTATGGCAGAAGAAAGCACTAAATGACA